AAAGAAATAAACTGGGAACTATGCTAGCCAAACACGAATGGTGCATGGAAGCCAATTTTTCACCTATTTTCCCTAGAAAAACGAAAAAATATACTGTTAACACTCGATATATGCAATTTGTTTGACACCATTTCATGGCATGCCAACAAAGGATATATAACAAAGTATTGAGATGACCTTTTGATATTGACCAAATACTTATTTTCCACCATAATTTGCAAATAAATTCGTTCCAAATCAGCCAATGTGATTTGTCTGGATTTGTTTTCTCATTTTGTCTACATGATATCACATGAGGTATTAAACAGACACGTTTGTTGGGTAAATTGAAGCTTTATATAAAAATATAGAACATTATAAGGGCAAAGGGTTTATATATGAAGATAAATATAGATCACTGGCTGTAGATATGTGTATTGCTATACGGTACGTATATACTTGCCAGCGTTTGCAGGAAACATTAGTATTAGTGTGTGCATATGTTTCAGACATAGTTTTAATGAATGAAATAAAGATTATCAGGGTTATGCACAGAAGGGTGAAGAGTTTGGAGAAGGAGGAGAAGTGAACAATCTAGGACAACATAGCTGAACTGGAAAGTGAGCTGCATTGGAGAATTTTTCCAAATCAGCTATTTTGGCCTAGATTGTTCTTTTCTCCTGCCTTCTCCAAACTCTTCACCCTGTAGTGAATAACCCTGTATATTTTAGTACCGAATGGGTAAGATAGGTAGAATAGTGTAGCACATCACTTCACTTCAGTAATCAGTTAAAATCCAAGTGGATTAAGTCAATTTACTAACAGTGTCTATTAAAAGTAAAACTGATCATGGTAGGGAGAATCAAAACCTGGTTAAAATGCCTGACAACTGCTATGTATGACCAACATTAGGATAAATGTGAAACCAATAAGGCATCACCATTCAGGTAGGAGAGTGGTGAAATAAGCATAATGCTTATGTTTTTGTGATGGGAGGCAGTTATGCCAAGTAGTAAGCATAGCATTAACAGTAATGATTATTGATCAACCTTAATATACACTCACCGGCCACTTTATTAAGTATACCTTGCTAGCACTGGGTTGGACCCCATTTTGCCTACAGAACTGCCTTAATTCTTCGTGGCACAGATTCAACAAGGTGCTGGAAACATTCCTCTGAGATTTCAGTCCATATTGACATGATAGCATCGCGGGCCCAAAGTGTGCCAAGAAAATATCCCCCACATAATTACACCACCACCGCCAGCCTGAACCGTTGATACAAGGCAGGATGGATCCATGCTTTCATCTTGTTTATGACAAATTCTGACCCTACCATCTGAATGTTGCTGCTGAAATCGAGACTCATCAGACCAGGCAACGTTTTTCCAATCTTCTAATGTCCAATTTTGGTGAGCCTGTGCGAATTGTAGCCTCCGTTTCCTGTTCTTATCTGACAGGAGTGGCACCCGGTGTGGTCTTCTGCTGCTGTAGCCCATCTAATTACGACTAATTACGACTACAGCCCAGTTTGGGGGCTGAAACATGTAAGCAGTTGATTGTTTGCTACTTTTATGCAAATAAAGGACAGATCCCCTTAGGAGTGCCGGTTTTTACCTATTGCTTAGTGAAGACTCTGGCGTAAGCTTTACCAGGCACCGAGGTTCCAGTAGCGGGATTGGAGACAAGAGGGTAGAGCTGCTCCATGTTTCTTAATTACAAGAAACAAGCAGCACTTGTATCTTTTTTGTGTTTTCTCAGCATTCTGCATTTTCAGCCAGCAGTAGATTCCCACAACACACAGCAGAAAATGCAAGAGAGCTCTAAGCATCAGTCAGCTTGTATATATAAAGTGCTGCGGACAGCTGAGCCTAATAATGAGATTTGGCTACCTGGCAAAACGTGGACCTAGGAAAGGAGGCTTAATCCCACTCTACAAAGCCTCTGAGCTCCAGGATCCAGAACAGAACTAATGTGAAAACAAAAAGTTTGTTGTCTGCTATAGTCCTAAACCCTGGAGCTCCCCACCATGTGTATATGAGAAACGTAGTTAGATCATACACACCATCCACTATCCTGTCAGACAGTGTCTCACATAATCTCCCTTTGCTAAGACCTGTGGGATGTAACACATGTTGCCAACATATAGTGGAAGTGTGACAGTCCATCAGCATTCCCTTACTGGATACCTGGCCTGTGTTCTAAATAAAATATAAAGTCTTGCAGAGCCAAGAACCACCTTGTGACCATTGTATTGTTCCTTTGTTCAGAGTCATTCACTGTAGAAGAAAATGGTCTGCAATTGATTGTAACTGTTTGCCTAAGAAATAATGCCTCAATTACTCCTGCACCCATTTTATGGCCAGGCACTCCCATTTCCACTATTGAACAATCCCTCTCTGCAGGGGTTAGTTTCCGTCTGAAGTGTGCTACTTGATGTTCTTCCCCATTATTTTCCTTGGACAAGACTTCTCCTAGGCCAACATTAGAGGCATATGTTTGGACAAGAAATTGTTGACTAAAGTTGGGGATGTTTAACACTGGTTCCTTACACAATACTGCCTTCAGCTCTTGAAAAGTTATCTGTGCCTCTTCATTCCATATCACCTTGGTGGACTTGCTCCCTTTGGTGGGATCAGTAAGTGGAGCTGCTATAGTAGCAAAGTTAGGCACAAACATTCACTAGAATCCTAAAATCCCTAGGACACCAACCTGTTTTTTTTTTTACATACACTAAGAGCACTGCAGTAGGGTAGTCTTTGGCATTGCCATTTATACAATGTGCCTTAATATGGCCTGAGCCAAGCTTGGCAGGATCCATCAGGCATGGACCAATGTAATGAGACTTCCAAAGTAATGCCTCCACTGGATGTCCTTCTATTGTAATAGGACAAACCTGCCTTGCCGTCTCAGTTCCTAGGTGTGCTGCAAGAACAGGCTTGGAAAATAGTGACATTCATTTGGCTTAAATATGGGGCAAGTGGAAGTCACATGTCCCAGTCCTTGGGACTGCCAGCACCTAATATGTTGTGTCTCTCTCAAGGAAGAGACTCCTTCTGGGCTAGTGGGCCATTTATATTTTGGACACACAATTGCCTCATCCTCATGAGCTTTCTCAAGTCAGAATTACTTGTACAAAAATATTATCTGGGAATAAATATGGTGAATGTTGCTCCAATCCACATAATCTGTTAGTCGCAACCAGGTGTTGATTGCACCCTTGTGCTGAACAAAAAACAGTCTTACCCAATGTTGATATTGTCCTGTTTCAAGGAGTCATCGTCTTATAGGGCAGATTCTAGAGATAGCCCTTGGTAGCAGCATATCAACAGCTCAACAAGGGAGACCAGCTCATCTGAACCCTGGGGCTTATATGCCAACTGTATCTTAACAGGCAAGGCTCTAATGTAACAGTCACAGACCACTCGTTCCACAATCTGAACAGGCTAGAGTACCTCCAGTCATAACTATTTAAGGCTACCTAGTTGTTAAGGTGGAACAAATTATACATTTGGAACCTCTTGGGATTCCTATGATCATATTCCCATGTGAACACATCCTTCACTTGGATGGCCATGGCTACCCCAAGCCTGGCTAGGATTTCCCATTGAGTTTAGAATACTTTTTTGCATCCTGAGCTTGTAAATCAAAGTAGTCCTTTTGGAGATCCCACGTTAAAAAGGGTGCTAGAACATCAGCCCACTTCTCCTCGGGTAGCTTCTCACATTCAGCAACTCTCTTGAAGATGCTGAAGTGGGCTTCAACATTCCTCTAAGGAGGCCAGTTGGGCTACAGTCAGGTGTTGCAATTGTTGGGCTGGTTTTACACGCTCCTACATTTTGTTCAACAATAAGTGCCTGTCGCTTTAAGATGCTGCGTGTAGCCTGCACCCAAGTACCAAATTGTAAGGGAGATATGATCAACTGATAATGGTTGTGGTAAACCATGCACAAGACATGGACAACCAGAAACAGTCCAAGCAGGGATGTCCTGCACTTTTATTCTGCAAGGCAGCACAGTTTTTTTTTTATAGGTTTTGTACAGCAAGTCCATTAGGGCTGCAACAACTAATCGACATAATCGATTATTGAAAAAGTTGTCAACTTTTTCAATAATCGATTAATCGGCTTCTGATCAGTTGGCCCTGTTCACGGCTCCACACACGCTGCGCGCCCCACCTCCTCCCTAACTCACGCTCAACGCTGCCAGACCCGCATCCACGCTTTACACGCCGCACCTCCTTCCCGCCTCACACTCACCGCCCGCCCACATTCTCCATCGGCACAGGGACTCGGGGAGATGTAGTAAGGAGGAGCAGGTGTGGGGGGATGACAGCGGCAGATTGACAGGCCCGATCTCAGAAGCAAGTTGCTGGAGAACCAGTTGTTCCGTCAGTGTATTAAAGGCTTTAAAGCAGACAGGGATATGATGTTTTTAAACGTCGTCAAGAAAAATACAAGTCCAGTTGCCTTGACTTATTTTTTACAGCTATACCATGACCTGGATGAATGAGAACCTTCACAGACATATTCACACACAATGCTTCTATTTCCTGCCACAAGTGTAATGTACATAGATATCAATGGCAGTATATGCCAGACACAGCCTTATGCTGCACCAGTGACATCCTGGCAGAGGAAATAGGCTTACATTAATGATGTAAGAGTCCTTATATGATTGTATAATACTCATTGTGTAATTCTAGCGTAAACACAAAGGAAAAGGCCACCCAGGCACACACGACGACTGTTGCTGTGACCACTTCCAATCCTCTACACCGTGCGCGCTCCTCACAGCGGACACGCGCCTCCCAACAGCAGCATCCGTATTAGCGTAACCTGTGCGCGCGCACAAAGCCTCTGCCCACTCCAGGCCGGCGCGCTCCCGTGCATCTGGCGCCACGGGGAACACGGGAGGGAGGAGGAAGAGCCGGTCACGTGACGGAACGTCTGTCTCCACGTCTAGTCCTCCTCAGGTTTAAACACATTCGCCGCTGCCTTCCACACCACAAAAGGCAGCGCCAGCAATTATCCGCGGACAAAGGGTTCATTTTAGGTTTAGCTGTGACGGTTTTGTTTAGTCACGTGACCGGCGCAGCCAATCCCAGGCCGCGCAGGGAGAGAAGGGTAGAAATACCAGGCGGACGGGGAACCAGGCGGCCGCCATTGCTAGGTATTTGGGGAAGGTCTGGCATGGGGAAACGGGTGCTGTATGTCACTGGGTTCCTGGGATAGCCATCCCTGGTTGGCTTCCAGGCTTGATGCCGGCTAAGGGGCCCTGCGGGAGGGCCTCTCTCAGCTTTCGAGTGCGGCCTAGTATGGCCTCCAGTGGCCATCCAAGCAGGCAGGGTGGGGGGTTCTCCTTGAGTGTGGTGTAATTCAGAAGGGGAGGGGGGCGGCTTGTACGATGTGTGTTGGGCTGTGGTTTTACATCAGCTATGGGTGGACAGTGGTGGTGTCTGGAGCTCCAATGGCAAGGTCTGTCATACAAGGCCTCCTGTTCTCATCCATTCTCCTACAGCTGGAAGGCTGCTACTTTTCTTCTTTGTTAAATAAAATCCCAATGAGGCCTGTGGGGGACCCTTGTAATGCCTGTGGGTGGGCACACCTGTCAACCATTGCTGGCATTTCTGGCCATGCAGATGATGGTTTACAGTGCACAAAGCATCATATGATGCCTGACTGTCACATGGATAATATGGTGATGGGTGGGCAGACCTGTCAACTGCCAGCATTTTAGGCCATGCAGGTGATGTTTTAGAGATTGTTCACACCACGTCCATTGAGCTGTATGTTTCTATACAGCACTAGATGTATAATGTGAACGAGGGACATAAAATGTTCTGTGTACCCTGTTCACACCATACATGAGCTGCGTGTATCTGCACAACACCGTGCAACAGACCTGGTGTGAACATGCCCTTACTGTACAAAAAGCTTCACATGATGCCTAAAAGATGGTGTGGATGATAGGTGGGCAGACCTGTCAATGACTGTCAGAATTTTAGGCCATGCAGGTGATGTTTTAAAACTTGTTCATACCATGTCCATTGAGCTACGTGTTTCTGCACGTCACTGTATGTGTCATGTGAATGGGGGGTATAGAAAATTTTCTATGCGCCCTCTTCATACCTTACTTGTGTTATGCATAACATGCAGCTCAATGGAAATGGTGTAAACAAGTCCTTACTGCATCATATGATGCCTAACCGTGCCATGTGGCGTGGGTGACAGGTGCACATATCTGTCAAAAACTGCTACTATTTCACACCAATGCATGTGGTATTACACCAATGCAGTTGCATTTACAGTGCTAGAAATGCTATATGATGCCTAACCACGCAACGCAGAAATAATAATGGTGCTGTTGATAGACTTTTCAATAGCCACTAACATTTTATATGAATGCAGGTGATTTTACTGTGCAAGAAATGTCAAGGTGCATAACCAGGCAGCGCCCAAAAATGGTGCAAGCGACAGGTGTGCAGAGCTGTCGTAAACTGCTAGTATTTACACCGTTGTCAGTGATACTGTGCAAGAAACATAGGATGCATCAGCATACCACACACAAGAAATGAAGGTGGTGAGAGTGACGTGCTGGATCTGCCAAGAACCGATGACCTTTCACACCAATGCAGGTTATATTACTGTGCCAGGAACATCATGAGATGCATAACCACACAAGAAAACAAAGCTTGTCCATGATTGATACTTGGCATTCCATTGATGCAGGCTGGACACAAATCCCATTTCTAACATTTATGGTTGATTTACTTGTGTCCCCCCCCTGTCTTATTTTGTAGATCTCCACAACTTCACACATGGCCTCTGTTGTTCAACGGCATATTGGCTGTCATTGTAAGATTCAGTCTTCTGCACTGGTGCAGGGGGTACACTGTTGGGTTCCACCATGTATCAGGTGGGCAGACCTGAGATGTTTGGTGCAGAGATCTCAATGCATGAGTCCCAGTGAGATGTACAGAAACCAAAGGGTGGTTCAGTCTATACGGTCCAGCTGTCCACCTATTATTCTTATATCTTCTCTTGGTAAAATCTTCAGACCGTAGAAGAGATTTTTTATTTTTTTAATGATTATTTAGTCAGGTGCCTGTATGTGCAGGACAGTTTTCAGATATTGCATTTGGTCAATGAAAGGCTAGTTTATGCAGGTAGCACAGTTTGTGTACTGAAACTTTAGGGTTATACGAAAGAGGTAATACTTTCATCTTCAAAGTATCCAATGGTGGCATTCTCTCAGCTCCTTTTGTCTTCAAAGCCTGTCATTTAAAAAAAATGTTTGTCGCCGCACTTTCAATTAGGTAACACCATGTTTGCCTATAGACTCTGTGCAGTGTCAGCGTTGTCCCACTTGTTGGCATGTTCATGAGGAAACGTAGAAGGATGTGCTGAAGAACTGCACACCAATGTGTCCACTTACTGCTGTAGATGAAAACAACTTCAGATGACTCACTGACCTCTATGGACATGGCTTTGGGTTGTTTTATAAAAACTTTCTGCTATTTATGCACTGCAGTAAAATAACAGAAAGATTAGAACCCTGCCTATGGGCTGTACTGGTACAAAATACAGAATTCTGGGAGTTGGAGTTCAAATCCGTGTAAGACCCTGTTGATTTTAATGCGCTTTGAAACATGAAACAACACATTCACACAGCTTTACCATTTTAATGGTGCTAGTTCTCTGTGCTGTGCTCTGCAATGGACAAATGAGAACAGATCCTTTAATGACCAACATGCTTTGTAGGCATGTAACATGTTTTGATGCGTTTCTAGTGCATGGAAACCATCACCTCCAATAGCAACTTGAACTTTACTCAACATTTCATAGGATGACACAATCCAACAAACGAATGTGGACTGCATGAAAACACGCATTGCTATTGCAAATGAAAATGTATAACAATGCACGTGTTAACCCATTATAAATGTCACAGCTTGTAGCTGTGCAGGCACAAGAAGTGCTTTGTTCTTGGCTGTGGTGATGTGCATGACTCTTCACAAAAAGTAAAAAAAAATAATCCCAAACTTGTTTCTTAATTTAAAAAATCGATGTATGATATAATGACATGAGCCTATCAGCATCCTGTTTACTGTGATTCATACTACATGTTTTACAATCTTAAGCTCTAGTGATTTAGAATGGAAAGAGATAAGTCTACCTCTGCAGCTTCAAAGGTCAAATCCCAGGACTTCTGCAAGTTGTCTTGCCCTTTGTCTTGGGGTTTTTTGTTCATAGACTTCTTTTGGGCCAGTTGATGGCAGAGCAGTCCTCCACTTTCAGAAGCATTTTAGGTTAAAGACTGTGAAGCTAGTTCCTGGTTAAATATTGGCCCTTATATTTGTAGTAGTATTCTGCTCACTTGACAGTCAGTTTTATCTTGAGCCATCTTTGGCCATTTTTACATTTGCTTAATCCTGAATTTCATCTTTGTGCACAGCGTTCGTTGTGTGCATATATCAATATATACATTACAAATTGTGCCTTGTCCTGACACCAAATTACTCTTTCTGTAGACCCTGATTTAGAGTGGCAAACTATGTTTTAATCTGTATGCAATTGTGTACTCTGCCTCTGTAGCATTAAGCAATATTTTGCCCTCCTCGCAACCGCTCTGCAAAATCACTTAAATACCAGACTTCAAATGAAGACTATGCTATACCAATTCAATGTCCTGTACAATGGCTTCTCTGCAACACTGAACATATAGGTATAGTGGTCTGTGTTTCATTTAGAAATAAAATTAATATGTAAATAACCTACATTTTGGCGTTGGTTGTCTTTGCTTTAGGAATAAAGTACCCCCCCCCCCCATTGTAATTGTGCTGTAAGGACTTATCTTAAATGATGCCTCTTGATCCAATCATCTTCCTTACACTTCTTTCCAGAAGTCCTTCCAGCACTGGTGCTGGTCTTTGATCCAGCGCTGACTGCTGTCTTCTGTGTCCCATGGTGTCTGCATGCCCGCTTGGGCTGCAGCTAATGATTAGTCTTAAAATCGATTAGTTAGCCGATTTATTAAATTTGATGTGAAAAAAAAAGGCTCCAGTAATGCCAGCAGCTATAGAGGAACAACAAATCCCAGCAAAAATACATTATACAGCGGCACAATGGAGAATAACACCAGCTATAGAGGAACAACAAATCCCAGCGATAATATATTATTGCTGGGATTTGTTCCTCTATAGCCGCTGATGTTCTGCAGTGTGCTGCTGTATAATACAGCGACACAATGCAGAATACCACTGACCAGATATAACACACACACAGTGCATTTGGTATCCAGTGATGGGACTACTAGTTTGTATTAAGATTGTAGTCCATCACAGGAGCAAGCTTGGAGCGGTGGAAGTAAAAAAAAAAAGTGTGGTGTGCAATATAGTGAAAAGTGTAAAATTATAGAGCAATGAATGCAGAATGGCACCGGCTATAGAGGATTATAAAGCACAATGCAGAATACCACCAATTATAGAGGAATACAAATAATCTCAGCAATAGTACATTATAGCTGGTGGTATTCTGCATTGCGCTGTATAATGTACTATTGCTGGGATTTGTAGTCCTCTATACAGCGCAATGCAGAATACCACAAATACTACCAATATATTATACATACAGTGTATAATGTATTGCTGGGATTTGTAGTCCTCTATAGCTGATGTTATAATATACAGCACAATGTACCATCAGCTATAGAGGAATACAAATCCCAGCAATACATTATAGAGCACCATGTGTGGGAAAGTGCAGGCTTACCTGAGCAGTCTTCCAGCAACTTACTTCTGAGATCGGGCCTGTCTATCGGCGGCGGTCATCCCCCCACCCCTGCTCCTCCTGTCTTCTCCCCGCCTCCCTGTGCTGATTGTGGATGTGGGCGGGCGGGGAGGAGGTGCTGCGTGTGGATCGTG